TTTTTATTTCCTTTGAAACTCAGGACGTGGTGAACTCTAAGAGTATTACTTACTGAGCATTACTTAAAAGAATGACTTTAATCATAAACCGATAGTACTCCCACCGAACAGAAGCCGAAAAAAGGAAAACTTCTCTAATATAAAGACAAGGTAGTCGATATGGTTGCATAGTCAGTACTTTCAGGCTTTTCCTTGCTTAATTATTCGGAGCGGTGATTAACGCAAGGGAGGTAGTACGCGCACTAAAAGCGAAAAAATTAAACAGCGGACTAGATTCCCTCCAAAGGTTCGTGCTTAAGAAAATAAATGTACAGGCAAGTTAATTTTTTCGGTCAGCAGATCATAAGGAGGTGTATATTTAAGCGTCATACAGTATCGAGAGTTTTACGAGTGAAGTTTCAAGGCTTGAGTTAGAAGTTTTAATAAACATAAACAAAATTATCAGCGCATGGACCACCCTGGAAACGCAATAGTTTCACTTATTTAACTTTCCAATTGTGATAACTTTTTTTTGCCAAATTTAAACTACACATTCTAAATATACCTAGTCGAGAAGATTTCTAGTTGGACATTTTTACATTGTATTCTTTATTTCAATACTTTATCATGTGAAATCTGCTAAATTTAGCTAGTTTTTATTGTGTAACCTTTTCACAATTTCAGTATTTGTAAAAGGAAGGAACATCCAATTGAAAAAGAACGTGTTGAGGCTTCAAACTCAACTTGAGAAGTTTCAAAAATATCTGACTTCTACTCAAAAAAAGGAAAAACAAGTCAGACACAAGCTAATGGGGACAAGATTTGCTTCCTCAAAACTGAAACAGAAATTGTAAGGCAACAGTGAAATCGCCAAAAAGGGGTATTCCCACAAAGGAAGAGAAGAGAGGCACATAATGGGTGTTCAGACCTGGTGTCCAATAGAGAGCAAGCCAAGAGCTTATGTCCTTGCAAACAGCCTAAGAGGAAGTGGGAAAACACCACTCTGATGTAGATAACCATGTTATAAAAAATGAACACGATATTACCGATGTTTCGGGGTTGGTTGGGGACAATGCCTTTACCCAAAAGGGAAAAGTAAACGGCCTTTTAGCTAACAACGCCAGAATTTTTGGAAAGGAGATATTTTTTGTAGGATGCTACC